TTTTTTTTTTTTCTTGTGACAAGAACTTTTAACATTTACTCTCTTAGCAACTTTCCAGTATGGGATACAGTCTTGTCAATTACAGACACCAAGCTGTATATGACATCCCAATGTATCCATTTTTAAATGATCTTGCAAGCTGGCAAGTCTAAAAGTTTTCCAAATACTGCCTGTTCTGCATTCTTCCTTCTCTTCTACTGGATCAGGGATGTACTACTAATAAAAACATTTTTTGATGTGCAATCAAACACTGAAAAAACCTGAGAGCATAAAAGCAGGTGAAACACTGTGCTGTAGGAAAAAAACGGAGAAAGGGCACACTACAGTTTAACCACAAAGGAACATAAAACCTATCCTGCACCATTACATACTGCAGCGGGGTATTCAGAATAAACTCAGGCTTTGAAAGGTTTTCTTTCAAAAGATTTGCTGTGCACCAGGCCACGTGCAAGCCGAGGAACCTGAGTCCTGTCCTGGCTCTGACAGTGGCCGCGTGCCTCCGCTGGTCCTGGCTTCACATTTCCGTTTGTCAAGCAAGCAGTTGGGGTTAGATAATCGCTACAGCTGTCCCTTCCAGGTCGGTCTGCTACACTACCATTTTACAGTGCTTCCTCACATGTCCTCACAGCTCTTGCAGGAAGACTGCCTGACACGCAACCTGAAAAATACAGATTTCTGCTGGGAAAAATGATCTGTCATATCTGCTCTCAGAATCTACACTGGCATGAGAAATAGAACAGGAAACCGAATTTCCAAAGCCAAATACTTCTGGGGGTGCACAAAAAAATGGACTCAGAGCTCATAGGGCCGATTACACTTCCTAAGTTCTATACAGCATTAGAAAACGTATCGTTGGTTCTTACCCTCAACCTGCAAAGTTAAAACATGTTCCAGCAGTCCACTGGACTGTCACTGCATCGATCCACTCACACTCTGCTATTCTCCCTCACGTAACCACATATCGCGTGGCGAAAGTACAACAGAATCAACACAGACTGTTTGCAATACAACCCGCGAGCCGTATGGTAACTTGTGGAATTGTTGGGAAAACTACCATAAATCTGAAGGGACAAGTGTCCCAGCTGAGGTGTGCACCAAGCAAGAGGAGGCATGACAACAGAAATGCCACGCAGGCGGCTCTCACAAGGTGGCCTCAACACAGCGAAGCCACCTTACAACAAAGGTACTGAGTGGTCCACGGCCCGCTCCTTAATTTTCCAGGTTCAGAAACTCAACCATCAGTACATGCAGAGATACAATCGGTTGACACATTTTAACTGTACTTATAGAAGAACATTTATCTACAACAGGGAATCAAACGCAGAGCATCAAAATGCTCCTATCCGGCAGCAGACTTGTCTTCAAGCTGGCAGTGCTACCTGAAGGGCCATATGAAGACACAGCAGACACAACCACGGCTTGCACTTGTATCAGAACGGGTTCCCACAGTCTCCCGCCTCATCCTACGCCCTCTCATTTCTAGGTGGGCACTATTCATCCCATGTGGCGGACAGGGAAACAGTGCGGTGACCTGAGACTACACAGCTATTAAGAAGATAACTAGGGCAGCTTTTTCTGCCCCCAGGTCCTATCCCTGTGCTTTGATAAAACCATCTATTTTGTGCCAAAAAATAAAGAAAGAAAAAAATAAGAAAATAAAAAAAGGAAAAAGAATAGAACTAGGATTGGAACACCTGCCTGACTCCAAGAGGGGGAGATCTTCCCTAAGGACCACATACAACTTTCCCAAACTGAAGTCCAATGCGGCCAGCTCAATTAGCTGGTGACCTGAACAAGAGCTATTAAGCCATCTGTCACCACTGAGGGCCTATGCTCACCAGGGGAACCAAAACCCTGTGCACCGCTCAGCGTATCAATGTGTCCTCAACATGAGGAAGGACCACTGGCGGCTCCTCACTCAGGACTTCCACGTAAAAACTCCACGATGTTCAGTGGACATAGTCTTTCCTCAGCAGACGCTGAAAATGTTTTTTTTTTGTTTTTGTTTTTTTTTAAATAAAGACAGCCTGGGGGCGCCTGAGTGGCTCAGTCAGTTAAGTGTCCAACTTCGGCTCCGGTCATGATCTCAGGGTTGGTAAGTTCGAGCCCCCACGTCAGGCTCTGTGCTGACCGCCCAGACTGGAGCCTGCTTCGGATTCTGTGTTTCTCTCTCTCTGCCCCTCCTCTGCTCGTGTTCTGTCTCTCTCTCTCTCCCCCCAAAATAAATAAACATTAAAAAAAAAAAAAACTTTTTAAAATAAAGACAGCCTGATCTAACAATAAAAGTTTAAGATCCTGGTAATAACTACCACCAAACACATACATGGCATGTGGAACATTGCTATCTTGCCCCATTTCCTAAAAATACTAGACTGAAGAATGTGGGTGAGGAGCAAAACATTCTTCACTCTGACAAAGCAGCAGGCGTATTCCATTTTAGTCCAAGGACGCAAATGAAATAAACAAAAGCTTAGCTGAAATTATAACTGCCACAAAGAACCGACTTCTTTTTGTTAAAACAGGCTTAAGAGTCTAAGAAAGACAATTATTGTATAGCTAAAGTCCTATAAGAAATCTGAATGAGTCTCCAGCTCAACAAGAGTGTACCATCAGACCAATGGTTTCACATTTCCACCAGTCAAAACAAAGAGTTTCGGTAAGGCATTGGTGATGCTTTCCACCATAATATCCAACTCAAAGGCCGCAAAGCTAAAAATTCTGGTTTTGCCAGTTATGAGGACACACAACAGGACAATTTACACATCTACAAGTCTCAAGCTGCGAAACTGGCACACTGCTAGTGCTTACTCCAGAGGCAGCACCCTAGAGACCAAATTCTAAGCTTAATCAACATTTAACAATAGACTAAAACAACTCCAAGACCAACAACTCCATCATTAAGCATGAGGTCAAATGCCTTCTTGTCTTCAATCAACAGAAATCGTAACAATACATTTCTAGCAGTAAGGACCATCAACTGGCCACAGAATCTTTGGACTCACATCTGAATGACTCCCTAATACTATCTATCATTAATTGAAAACCTACTATATGCCAAGTGATCTACATATACATCTCATGCCACAGCTTGACTCTTCCAACCCTTCTGGAAAACAATATGGCAACAGTTACTAAAAGCCTTTCAAAAGACCTGGCAATTCCATAGCTAAGAATACATCCTGAGAAAACAATCAGAAATGGGGACGAAGCCTTAAATACAGATATCCATGGAAATGCTACTAATAACTGCTTCCGATTCCCCCAATTCAAACGCCCAGCAATAGGCAAATTTTTAAATAAACTGCGGTACATCTGTATTACATGCCCATTAAAATTATAAATTTGAAGAACTTGAAATGTCAGGGAAAAATGCTGACAATGTAGCTTTGACCGAACAAAGAAAGTTGAAACTGTTGGTACAGTTCAGGGCATCATGTTTAAAAGTTACATTGTAACCACAGAAAAGGAAGAAAGCTTAAGGAAAAAGATACACTAAGAAGTAAACTGCAGTTGTTTTGCGGTGATATGGTAATAACTTTTTCTCTCTACCTTTTCCTAGAAGTTACAAATTCTCTAAAACGAATATGCAGTATTTATCAGAAAAAAAATTCACGAAAATTACCTGCAAAAATAAGTATGTCAAAACCAGCTACAATAGAAAATTTCAGTTTCCACTGCTTTAAAATAGTGTTTTACAAGCGACAAATCACGCTGTGTACAGAGCTGCTTTCCCAGGATCATACAGTTACTGCTATTACTTGGCATTTACACACGCCTTTTGAGAGTCCTTACACATTCTGCACACGTTTTTACCACATGCCACCTACAGGGGTAAATTATAATGATGTTTCAAAAATACAAAGACATTAATTTAAAGTGAAGCTAAGTTCTGATAATTCTTTGAAGTCTGCCCAGCCAAGTTCTGCATCAAAGCATCAAACAGAGCCATGACCGGCTTCCAAGCCCACACTTGTATTAAGAGATGGAACATGCCCAGCTTTAATCACATGTACAAGTAGAGATAGTTTCTATTCTAAATTTGTTATCATCACATTATAACTACTATAATCAGACTAGAGCTGTTAAAAAGTAACGTCTTTTCCAAGTGCATACTTATGCACGACTGATGCTGATGTGAAAGT